CACCTTCTGTTTTCAAAAATGACACACACAATTTCGAACAAGAACCATTATCTGATCATCATCATAAACTTATTTTTATGATAGTTCAAAATTACGTGGATAAACGCTTAAAGCACGAAAGCGAAAAAATGTGCGATGTGAAAAATCGTATTCGTATGCGGAACACGAAACTAACGATTTTCAAAGGTGAATAATTAAATACGCATCTAATGTTTTAAAAAATATACATACATAGTTATTTTCCAATAAATTTTTTTATTTTATTCTAACTATACACTTCGTGTATTCTTTGCTACATATTGTTCAAAATTTTTTTTATTACATACCTGACATTCTTCGTCTCCTCTTTAGAAAATGAATAAAAAACATCTAACACGCCCGTTTGTTTTTTTTAATTTTTTTCATAAAAAAAATTAATAAATTAATAAAAAAATTAATAAAAAAAAATTTGGTAGATTCGAAACGAATCGATCTCCGTACGGACAAAAACGTTTAGCCCACTCTGCTACTGACGCTGAAGTAATTTATAAGGTTTTGTTATATTTAAGTTTTACCTAAGTATAGGGGCTAACGTTAACCGCCCTCCCTCTCTTGCTTGGCGCGCGAGGAAGAAGGGGGCTTCATCTATCTATATATGCGGTGTCGCCGCAGCCAATCAGAAGAATGTGCGAGAGAGAGAAGAGGTCAAATTCACTTTCTTTCTCTTTCTATTCAGCCGACGCCTTTTCAGACGACTTCCCTCCTCTATCTATAATACCTCTATGGATATAACAGGTTTGTCGCGTTGATCGCACTTTTGACATTTCTGCATCTGATGTTACCAGAAAGCCAAGCTTGAAATGTGATGAATGTCGAACCAAAACATACGACATTGCTATCTTTTGTACAACCGATATATCAAAATAAATTTAATACTTTGTACAAATAAAGGAAATTAAGAACAGTTTTCATAGTTCAATCTTACCTTTAAGTTTCAAATTTATCACATATTTTAAGATACACGTCTAATTTTATATTTTATCTTAAATTTATCTGAAGATATTATTATTCAGCGTTTCCCTGAAATATTCGATTGGGAATCTACACGTTTGGATGCTCTGGAAATTATTTATATTTCTCTTCTTGCTTTCTGTGGAAAGAAGCACATCAAGCACTCTGAAGATAGATGTTACACGGTGCAAGGAAGCTTGGCCAACGTATTCGCATACTGAAATTCCGCGCTATTCTCGTATTCACACATGTCCAGAGCAATTATGCAGCTTTCACGGACAACTCGTTTACTGTCGTTCAGGTACTTGTTCAATATCTCGTAACACTCAGGAGTAGCAATGGAGCCCAAGGCCTCTGCGCATTCGTGCCTGACCATCTCGTTCTCATTCGTGTTCTCCAATGACGCTCGCAGTGCCGGCACAGATGCCTCCTCCTGAAGTTGTCCCAATACAAAAGCCACTTCGTGCTTGAACAAAGCACTGCCGGTTTCCAAACCTTCACAAAGAAATCGATATTCGTCAATTAATTGATGTTTATACAGGGTTTGGAAAAAAAAACCCATTCAATATTTTATATGGTAAATAACACACACCATATCGAATAAGAAAGAAAAAACTTTAGTAAACGTAGATCGAAAGCTCAACCGTTTCTGAGATATAAACATAATACTAACATACAGAAATGTTTATATCTTAGAAGTTGAACTTTCGACCTATATTTACCAAGATTCTTTTTACCCAGCATGGTGTGCACTATCTACCATATAAATATTGAATGGTTTCCTGTAACACCCTATATATAATAGTTTTATCCTTGTGAGCTAAATTACCTTTGGTAAGAGCAAGAATGCTCTCTGCGGTACCTAGATTTCTCAATGAGAACATTGCTCTATATCTGTCGAACAGAGATTTGCTCTGGTCTAGCAAGATTTCCTTCAGAGCATCTACATCTGTTATTTCTGCAGATGGTGCAGGATCAACAGTTGAATATGGATTCTTCCGTGAGTCCTCTCTGTTACTATTGGACTCCAACCATCTCAGTCGACACAACGCTAACTCGCAGGTTTCAGCTACTTCAGGCACTGAATCATTGCTGTACTTTTCCAATAATGGGATCACATTGTACTCACCAATAGCACCCAACGCTTCTCCTGAAAGTAGATGAATACTTTTTATTTGTAATTTGTTTGCTCATTATTCTTGAACAAATAATCACAAAAGTTAAGTGAGATTTGTATATCAAGTACACACCTGCTTCATGGCGTACCATTGGTTCTTGCGACAGGTTCTCCAAAATACTGGATAAGATACTAATAGCTAGAGGATCTTGCATCTGACCCAAACAATAAGCTAGTTCATGCTTTAGCAACACAGATTCATCTTTGAAACAAGCATGAATCTGATTTATAGCCACTGCGCCACCAATATTCCTCAACGTGAACAGAGCACGAAATCGTTCCTTGAGTGGCCTGGCAGAATCGTTCAAGACTCTGCCTATGTTTAAAACATCACTCTCACTTGCTTGCATTGTGTGTAGAAAATAAATTCACCACTGTGCTTTGTCTTGCCAAAAGAGCTTTAAGTAAATAATTAATAATATATGTAATTAATATTAATTAGTACCAATATATACATAAAAGACAGAGAATGATTTCGTAAATAACTTACAAAATCGACAAATTTCCAATCAGACGTTTGCTGCTTCCAATGTTACGGATAAAGTGGTCGTGCCGATAAAATCTCTAACAATATGTAACGTGGTAGCAAAATTACTCATTCCAACGTCAGTTCATCGAGGAAATAGTTTTACCGAGAACAGTGAAGCATGTGGCCAATTCTTCTTAGCAAACATCTACTTATCTCATTTCAACTTACTGCACCAGTTCAGCTGTGCAGTGCTAAAAAGTGCTAAAAAGAACAGGCCACATAGGATAGACAATTGATCTGTTCTTTTTAGCTATACTGCTGAATTCGTGAAATAAAAATCTTCAAAGTTTTCATACATGGATTGTCGCTGCAGTAGGGATGGGCAAAATCATCGATGTTTGAAAAATATCGATGCGTTCGTTCACTGAAGATAGTATTATATCTAGAGAAAATGTTAGGAACTCTAGGAATTCCCTATCCGAGAGCCAATCGGCTCATCCGACAAACTCGTCGTACGACACATTCTCAATAAGTAAACATAGATGTTTGAAACATCGATGATTTGCCATCTACTTCAAATCAATACGTAAAATATGGTCTACAATGGGCAGTAAAAGTATGTTTATAAGAAGTAAGAGTAAAAAATTAACCAATCATAGTCGATTATTCTCCTTACGTTCGAATATGATTGGTCGATTTCTTATTCTTACTTCTCATGAATATTCCTACTGACCATTATAGGCTACGCTTTAAAACGTGGTTTATTATATGTGCTATTTTTTAATTCTGATTTAGAGATTTGTTCTCAGCGAGTTGGTCACACTGGTATATGTACGCCGGTACATCGCCACATATCGGTAAATCAGCGCTCAGATACAAAAGCTCGTATCCATAAGTATCGAGTACCGGAATCTTCCTCACCCAACATACCCGCGAGTGACCCGTGACATGAAAGGTACTTGCGAATTCGTACGGATATCTTTCATCGATATTACGGAGGAGCCACATCCCAGAGTAATCGCCAAGTGGAGCAGGAGACAATAACCATCGACCGAGGAGTAACAGCCGAACCAGCTCACGGTAAGTACGTTTTTTCATTTCGTTATCCAATTTGTCCGCGTCGCTTTCCATTTGTGTTTATAAAGATCCGCCGTATCCATTGCGAACTCGTCGCGAAATTCTCTCGGTCGCGTACTCGCGAGGCCACCTAACAAACATGTCCGCACTTGTTGGTGACTCGTATGCGGCCTTTTTTCGCTTCGAACCCGCCATTTTTCTGGACGAAGTCGTTGCTGCCTCGACAGAACGCAATTTGGTAAACGACATCCTTATTTTATTCGTTGAGGAACATAGGGGTGTTATCTCTCAAGAAATACTGAAAGCCAATATTGAGAGAGAGAGAGAGAGAGAGAGAGAGAGACTAATATTACTGCTGGAATACACGTTAGTACAAGTGACGTCCAGTAATTAAAATATGACTGACATATGACATATCGCTACCCGGATATATAATAATATAACTTACGATATTTCTTGAGTTTCTTTGTGTGTAAAAATTACACATTTTAGCTGATGTGGCACAATTGAAAAATATCTAACTATATACCCATATAGTAGCAGACCTCCAAAGGAACGCTCTAAAGATATCCAGTACATACCATAAGGACATTCACAGGACATCCATCGGACAATGTATAGATATATTATAGTTATATAGATATATTATCACAATGATCAAATTATACGATATGTTATAAATATTATATTATATAATTAGATTATTGGATTATATTAGATTATATAATGATAGAAAGAGAAAGAGAGAGAGAGAGAGAGAGAAATTCTACATAGATATTACTTGTTCTACATACATTTCACTTGTTTGAATATTAACAAACTATAAGTAGCTTCAGACAACATAATGTCTTTCAAACGTCTCATGTCCCGATTTTAGACGCTATGCTTACATGTGCGTAAATCCTTGCAAAAGCACAATACGAAACAAATAATGTACAATAGCATTTTACTTTTGTAGTGAGGTACACATGTATACATACGTATCTACACATAGGTTTGGAAGATTTCACTTCTGCTCTTGCCGATCGTCACGTACAATATCGAGAATCGTTCCCGGCGTTTTATCGGCGTCTACGAGTTAATCACCGATAATGATTAATGCGCGTTCTCGCGAGAATTAAAGCTTCTCGTCGTAAAGTTGCGCGTACGGATCGCGCAAGATCGCGAGAGAGTGCTGCGGGAACGCATCGATGGGGTTTAATAAATTTCAACTTAATCAACACGTGGGAAGCTGCTCCAGAGAAACGCGCCCGCCGCTGTATCCCCCTCGCGAGTCTCGTTTCGTGACGTTGCGAAAGATGAGCCGTTAATACGTGAGAAATCCGGTTTTTAGATGAACGCGCGTGTTCACATATAGTGCGTCCCGAAAGCACCGACTCTCGTGTTCCCTTTTTCCAACGGTACTTGTTTCTCGACTAACTCGAGAGATCGGTATTTCCCCGACATAAGATTATCGAGGTATCGCTGGTTTCCGCGTAATCGGCGGGATAATAATGCGGGAAGTATCTCGCGAGACGAGCGCGGATAAAAAAGTGATCTCTGTTCCTTTTAGTCGCACCGCTGAACAGGTGCAATAGGTTTTGACCGAGACAAAATATACTTGTCTCACTCTGACTTATTGCACCGGTTCGGCAGTGTAGCTGAAAAGAACAGACCAAAGATTGATTGTATCAATTGTGACGATGAACGAAGTAAACGTATTTCGTTTGAAGGACGGAATTTCTGGCCAATACGAGCGAAATTTAATTTTAGCAAATTCTATTTCCTTTCCTCAAAGCGCGTTCGGTTCGTTGTCGCATTAATTCGACTAATCTTCCTCTCCGTGTACGAGTCAAGTAATCGCCTAGTAAGCAAGAAATCGTTAACACGACGTTATTACAATGATATTTTGTAACACGTAACATTTGCAAATGTGTAATTCCTAATATTATATGTAATGTTATTGTTAATAATATTTGATCTAAGCATTAAGAATAATATTTCTACGTTAAGATTTTAATATTTAGAAATATCACAATATCAAATAATAGTTTAAAAACATTTATAAAATATTATATCAAAATATTTGTAAAATTTATATAGAATCAATATTTTAAAAGATCGATTTAATATTTCTTGCTTACCGGACGTGGTACCGATTTAGCGTTGAACGGACTTGGAAAATCTCGTCTCGATTGTTTGTCGACTCGTTCTTCACGGGAAAATCATCTTTAAATTCACCAGAGACCAGCTACGCGAGGAACATTCTCGGTGATTTTGGGACACTGTGTATATATGCAGTGGGCGAGCTGTAATAATGTTATCGATATCATTAATCGAAAGAGCGCGCGGCTCGCGGTTAACAGATTATCTTCGGGCATAAATTAATGCCGGTTCCCCGGCACGGCCGAGGAATAACCGACGATGATTAACAGTCGTTTTGTTTGTAACATTCATCAGGCTAGAGCGACAAATCGTTCAAAATACACCGTTCGCACCAATAACTCACCGCTTCCCGAGCTGTGTGAGTCGCGCGGCGTTACAGAAAATCATAATAAATATCGACGACAGATATTTCTCTTCGATTATTGCCGATATCGAGCGACGTCGACTTATGTCCTAAATTTGTAAAAAAATCTCTCTCTCTCTCTCCCTCTCTTTTTCTCTCATTTTACGATTAATGACGAAGCCATTAACGCCATTGCTTTCTTCCGCGCTGCGATATATCGTATCATAAATATTGAAGGCGCACGGAGATTTCGCATAACGAATTCGGCGGCGATTCGGATGATTGATGAAGTATCACCGAAGAATGTCCTAATCGGCGATCGGCTCCTACTAGGCCTCATTATAAGCGGCCCGGAGTCAGCTGGACCACGATTTTATCTTGGATCTGGGCAGACTAGCCTTGTTAGCAAGCTGAACTATGGACTATTACATTTATCTAACCTGATCCACCGAAGTCGGAACACTGTCGTGGATTTCTCGGTAAGGCAGTGATGGATATTTCACGGTTAACGTCCTGACACCGTCGTCGCATCGTGGACCGAAAGCCGCGGTGCTACGAAAAAGAGAGAGAAAGAAAGAGAGAGAGAGAGAGAGAGAGAAAGAAACGTGCCTTGCAAACCTAATTTCGGATCCGGCCCTTCCTTCACAATCGTCAGGACACGATCCGTGGTCCCGAATTTTTTCAGGTCAACCTCCCTCATATCTTATCACCGTATCGTGTTCCGTCGCACTCGGACCTTTGCTGTTAAAGTATCATCTTATAAAGCAAGCTTGTCCTTTTATATTAAAGGAGAGTACCGTGGGGAATCCTTTTATCTTTCGGAAGTGAAAAAAGCTAATGTAAACTATAAAGATACAAGGAATAAATCGAATGAAACTACAGAGAGAGAGAGAGAGAGAGAGAGAGAGGACATGTATGATAATAATACTTCTTTATTGAACTCTAAAATTACAAAAATATTAAAGATGCTATGTTAAGAGCGACCAAAAGGTGCGATAACAATTGAACAGTTGGTTTTATTAAACATATATAGGTTATACCAAAATTCCCGCATGCCAGATATATTGGGAGATTTTTTATATCAAAAGAAATAACTTTTTCTTTCACCAAGATTGCCTTCGCACAATAATATTTGAGAAACAAGCAATTGAAAAAATAAGAGTTTCTCGCGAGCTAAGCTAAGCTTCGGATAAACGAAATAGAAAACAACAAAATTATTTTCTTCGGTCAATTTCAAGTAGACTTTACTTGAGTAGAATTAGAATTAGAATTTTAATCTAAGGCTTAGCTTCAAGGATGTGTTATGTTGAAAATTGAAAAGTTACAATAAATAATGACTTTTCTCGACACTTTCGCCAAGGAAAAAATGATTTCTTCTGGTATAAAGAATCTCCCTGTACATTCCTCATGCAGGAATTTTGGAATTCTGCATAAATTAGTAATGATATTTTATAAGTAAATGAAGACACAACCCGGACAACATATCGTTTAACATCGGAACATAAAATGTCTTAAAGACATTTGTAAGACGTTTAGTCGTAAATATCGAAATAGTTAATAAAAGTCACGGTTTTCTACACTTTTTTAGTCTTTCATGAATTATAAAATTTATTATCAGTTTTCATTTATTATCTTGGTAGACTTTGTAGACTTGTTGCCGCCAAGAAACCAATCTAAATGGGTCAAACTGATAATAGCAGTAATGAATAATAAAAGAAGTGGGTATAACATCTTGCACAAAATGTGTAAGCGAAGAAACGCGTATAGACCTCACA